CCATAATCAGGGAGCTGAATGGGAAATGGCACAGCTCATTCACTAACCAATGTCCATATGAGATGCTAGCACTGAGAATTGGAAGATTAGCCAATTGAGGCACTGTGCCATCCCCCAAACTTTCATCTTGAAGACAGCCATTCCACAGGTCCACAGCTTAGAAAACAGATGTTAAGCCAGAACAGCTACTACTTTGAGCATCCCCCCCCCCATTCCAGAAGCTACCGAATACTCATTGCGGATTGCTTTAGCTAGTCCCTACTACACTCCTCTGATGTGTTCTCTCTCTTTACAAATAAGAAACTGGCCCTCAAGGATGTTAAGTAGTCAATTGCTTGGATGCATGCAGTTGATAATTGGCCATCCTGGGATTACAATGCATTTGTTGGACCCTGAAGTGCCTGAGTGCACCAAGTGCACACATGTGTATAGGATGCTGGTCTCGATCCACGCCTGCATGCAAGATGATGCTTTTTTACTGTGTTTAATAAACTTTATTCAAAGACTTCAGGATTCCAATTATCTTTTACTCTTAGATATATTGAATAACTGCATTTAAGGCTGTCTTAGAATAAGTTTACTTGAGAAAAAGTGTTTATAGTTTTATAGGTTTATAAAATTATTTTAGACTCAAAGTACAATGTTTTTAGAAATCTGCCTGCTATATACTCTTTTGTTAACAGAGTACATAGTGAAAAGGTAATTGAAGCCTATTTTTCTTTTTAAGTTCTAAATAATTGCAATTGTTAGATTATAATTGAATTTACAAGTTTCCTGATAATCCTTAATGGCACAGCACAAAACAAAAGATTTAATGGAAGGTTGGAATAAAAGTATGAACTCTTGTTCACTAAGCAAAAATGGTATTGATCCTGTAGAATAAAGAAAAGTTCCTAAATAGGGTAGGATATTTAGTAAATTATTTAGAATTATTTTCCTTTTGAATTGACAAAAATAAAATATTCAGTGTTTTGTGCTTTCATTTTACTTGCTATTTTCTGATGTATGCCATTAAGCATGCCTTATAATAAACTAATAATTTGCAGGAAAAAGCATTTTCAAAAGTATACCAATGCAGTAATTAACATAGTGGATAATGACATTTGAGCACCTCATCCTTTGAGCTTGTTCTGCATTGCTATTTTGCATTGGAAAGTCTGGAAAATCTTGTGACTAAGAAGGCAAGCTTTCAGTGGTTGGAGTTTATTTTGTAGTCTAAAATCAAACCTTTTGTTGATTAAACAAACCCCTCTTAGACTGTAATACAAATATGTTTCAGTTTTACACTTAATTAAAATATGTGATTGTTATTTAAACTTTTAATGAAGATGGAATTCATAAACTTGAATGCATGAAAATGTTTTTTTCAGGGTCACAGAAGTTTAATGTGCACTAATAAGTTTGGGGAAAAACATACATTGTTTCTCTTAAACAGAAGTTACAGTTGGCATTCATTGTGTTTAACATGTTTCAAGCTATAGTGGATGGTAGGCTGTTAAATTTCTTTACACCTTCCTAATTTTTAATACATTTCTATTTTTGAGACACTTTAATATTGGGGGATTTTTTAAAAAACTAAAGGAAAAAAATGAGTGCTATTTCCATTGATTGTAATGTAATCAATAAACGTCACATTATTTTAGTTTTCAAAAAATTGGTGGTGAATTTTAAGTTAATATATATTGTAGATCAAAGGTAGAGGTATCTAATTCAGATACAAATGCACAGGCACACAAATAACCCTTAACATATACAGTGAATGTGCACAATCCTGAGCTGTACAGCAACACAGCTCAAAACTTTACTATTCCTGTATTTGGAGAAAGAGCAATGGAGAGTGGTTTTACATGGTCCTATTTTAGGAGTCAAAAAATGAGTCATTATTTAGCTATATTTAAAATAAAGGGCTATGTCTATTTTGGATTCTATACGGCTATAACTTTGGATTTTGTGTATTGGCAATAGATAAATCTCAATTTGTAAAATATAACAGAATAGGATTAGAAGACTGTGGGCAACTCTGTGCTGAATAAGTATATTTAAACTAAAATCAGAATTCTCATTAGTTTCCAGTAAATGATTTGTAAGTATATCTGGTACCTCCTATCTTTGGGACACACTATCTTTCAAGGGGTCACTCAGTTTTCAGAAGTTATTTTAATCTTGACATGAATGCATTGGATAAGGAATTAGATATAAATTTGACTTCATTCTAAAATGTATTTTTTATATACTTTAAGATGTATCTTAAAATAATTGACATAATTTTGTTTTTTCACTTTACTAGATATTCAAAATAACATCTTAAAATTGATAATGTCTTACATTTGAAGTTATATGACAACTTAGGAGCTTTGCCGGTTGTTTGTGTATTTGGACACTGGGGAGATAATCCCACTCTCTGTCCCTCCATTTGAAACCTATGCAGTTGTACCTTGCAATGAATTTCCTTAGCTTCATCAGTTGGTAGGAAGTGAGTTTAGTACAGAATGATATAAATGATAGTACTTCTTACATCAAAATCCTTATACTTTGAACACACTTTATCAAGTGTCTGAGCAAACCCAGCAGCCTTTGAAGTATTTGAAGAGCCATTGAATTTAAGAGTCTTCATCCCTTCTCTGTTCTTTAATCTTATTAGCACAGTCCTCCTTCAGAACATGGCTCTTCCTGGCTTCAAATTTAAGGACATGGATTATAAAATAATGCTTAGAACCTCTCATCTACTTCAGCCTATTGATAGATACATCAAATACTTAGGAAGCTCTTGAATTTATAATAAAAAATCATAATATTTTAAAATGCTGTCCAAATTCATGGGGACCTGTTTTATCTCCTTTAAAAAATTTTCTTCTAGAGCATTTCTATCATTCTCTGATGTTTTTCCAAATTGATCAATGAAAGCTTTTTGGTTGAGTATTTTGTTGTCATGAATAGCATGATCAGTTGAACAAATAAGCAAGAAATATAGTCAACTTTAGGTATTCAATTTCAAAGGGATATGAAGAACACTGATCTTCAGTTTTGTATTAGTAATTTATATGGAGATCATTTCACCTGATTTCCCTATTTTTTTTCTTCTCATGTCATATTCAATTTGAAATCTTATGCTTAGAATATCAATTTTAGAATTTAGTAAAAAAAACTGACTACAAAAACACATTGAGTCATTTTCAAAAATATCTGTCCACTTATAGATCATTTGACTTGTGTGTACATTTGTGTCCTAGCATTTAACTAGTTGTTTGTATTTTGTTCCATTTGTTCTCCCCATGCATTTTTCTTTCCCCAAATTCAACATGAATTTCTGTACTTTCAAGTATGATCACCTGTGCTTGAAAAAAAACTCCACCCCTCTCTGTGCTTCTCTCCATTCCTGTTTCAGAGGCTAACCATAGACTATCCATAGACATAGACGAGCCACAGACATGGCCAACCATGGACTGAATAAGTATATTCTCCACCTCTGGTTAGTTTGTCTGCCTTATTGTTTCCCCTTTCCTCACAGTTATACTCCCATCTAGTAAATTAATTATTATTTTTAAATGTCCATGAATTTTATCAAGAATTTTCAGTGACACAGTGGGTTAAACTGCCACCTGTGATGCTGGCATCCCATCCCAGAACAGCAGTTCAGCCTCAGCTGTTCCTGTTGTGATCCGACTCTCTGCAGATATGCTTGGGAAAGCAGCCAAAGATGGCCCACTTATTTGGCCCCCTGATACTCATATGAGACCCTGATAGATTTCTAGGTTTACAGGTTTTTGTTTTTGTTTGTTTGTTTGTTTTCCAGGCTTACAGTTTTGATCTGATCCAATTCCAGCCATTATAACCAATTGGGAACTGGACCAATAGGGAGATATTTCTTTTTCTTTCCTTTATCTCTTCTCTTTGTCTTCAAATAACTAAATTAATATCAAAAATTCTCTCAAAACATTCTACTACATTGAGTGACTTTGAAAGGTACCTGTGACGTTCAAGCTTTGCTTCTCTCTTTAAGTGCACTGACATTCTGATGATCTACTTTATTTAAGGCACAACTGGCTAACTCGGATTGGCTAAAAGGCACACACTGCTACCATCAAATGTCTGTATCGGTGACTCAGGTTTTCAAGGAATGGAAAGGGTGAATCATTCTTCATTGGTCAAATGTACTGTTATTGTGATAATCTGGGTTGTGATGAAAATAAGTTAATGCTTACGATGTGAAGATTTATATAGTAGCAAAGAAAAAGCACTAAGAACTGTCTGTATACCTTCTTAGGCTATGAAAATTCAAAATTTCTAAGTACCAAAGTTTATTTACTTGAAGGTTTTTCATACCAGTTATCTTTTCTAGACATTTTGATCATCATACATAGGAGCATAATTATGATGGGTTTTATTTTGTTGTGAAAATGATAGTGTTAATAACATGCTTAATAACTCATTATGAATACTTGCATGTTAAATTACAGCACATTATGTGATAGTTACATGAACCCAGCCACACCACAGAGGATAATATTTGATCATATGACAACTTTTTTCACTTCTGTGTTCCTTATTTGTATAACCAAGATCAAAACCTATCAAAGGCACTGTAATTAAATTTGTTAAGTTATATTTAGTTAGCATTTAATGATATACTTAGAGGATCCGTGGAGACAGCAGTCTTTAAGTAAGTATGATAACCATAGCTCCTTACCAAGAAGTTAAATTTCAATATGGGAAACAATTTCAAATGAATAAATTGGGTTGTTTTAAGAGGAAAGTAGATTCTTCTCTAACAGATGCAGTTGCAGACTGATTGCTCAGTTGGTGAGGTTTCATGGAGGGTAGCAAAGGTCTCTGGAGCTTATGGAATAAGCAGACTATGAAGGCTTGTTCAAACACTATTAGGGAAGGCATGAGTGCACAGTACAAATCATGATGTAACAGTGTTCAGAACACTCAGGTTTTTTTTTTTCCTAAGACCTCATTCAACTCGTGAACTGTTGTGAATTCCTTAATAGCTGTACATTCAAACTGCTACTAGATTCTGATGCAGCAGAGTATGGAGGACACCAGAGACTGGACCACAACACTGATTTCTTTTCAGAGCCTTATGAGCACAATGGGCGTCCCTACTCTCTTTTGGTAAGTAAGGTCCTTATGGTATGTTTTATGGGAAAGTTTTTGTTTGAAGAAACAGCACTTCAAATAATCACATGAACAAAGTATAGAAGGTGCAGAGGGAAAGGCCAAGCTTGAGCATTAGGTGGTATGTGTGCTGCTGGACTCCACTGGGTTTAAAAGAAACAGGGGACAACAGGGAAAAATTAAGAGAAGAGGCAATTTTTAAATCTTTTTCTTTATTATGACCATGGCTATTCTTTAGCCAACAGTAAAAGTCTATTATTAATATTTTATACTAGCCATATTTGCACATTATTGGGCATCAAGTGACGTTTAATTTAAGACACGTTGGGGACAGATGTTGTGGTTCAGTGTTTTAAGCCAGTCCTTGGCTTTGAACTGTTCAAGTTCTTGCAACTTCCCACTTGGAATCTGACTTCCTGTTACTGTGTTCCAAGAGCAAGTATGTTGCAGAGATGGTACATATTCAGTGTAGTAACGTATGAACCCTTCTTTGGATATGGCAGTGTCTGGGAGAGAACCAGAGTGTGGAAAATTCTTATTCTCTGTCTCTCTTCCAAGTGGATGAAAGATAAACAAACATCTTTTTAAAAATAAAGGAATCAATTTCCATAAGTTTCCACTTCATTTTCTTGGCTTCTGTATTGACTTAGTTACAACTGGGCCAGAAGGGGTCTTGGCATTGGAAGCCTGCAAGGCAAAGGCTATTTGTTTCAACCTTGTTACTCAATTTTGCAGATAGTTTGGATTCAGATAAGGCTGTGGCTGGCCCATCGATTCTTTCTATGTGTTGTTCTGAAGTGAACCCAAACTCTTCTACTTTCATGGCAATAACCAGCTGGCATTCTTTATTCTGGAGTTTCTGTAAAGGTCATTTATCCTCAGTGCTCTTTCTCTCAGGTAAAAACTTCTCTTTGGCTGCAGGCTGGGGGGAATTGTGGTCTCTGACTGCAGCTCCTGGGTAACTGCTTAGAGACAAAATTCTTGTGTGGGCCGTCATTGTGCACTCACTGGAGCACGTGAAAGGAAGTCGCGTGGGAAACATGGTCTTGGCTTTCTCTGTCACAGCCTACTTCTGCCTTTGCATCTGGAAAATGTGTTTGTCTATTTTTCATTTTTTTGAGAGGCAGAGAGAGGGATGGAAAGAGAGACAGGAATGGAACAGAAACATAAATCTTCCATCACTGGTTCTCTCTTCAAATGCCCAGAGTAGGAAGGGATGGAGTTAGCAGCTGCTAAATACCTCAAACGTGTGTGTGTGTGTACGCGTGTGTATATGCACGCACATGCGTGTGCACAGAGAGCACATGCCTTGCTGTATCAGTAGCTCTTGTCTTCCATCTCAGGATTAGAAATGGAACCAGCCCTCTAAACCAAAGACATAGACTTTAGTGGACTCTCTGGCTGTCTCCTTGGAAGTTGCCAGTAGGGCTGCCATGAATCCAGGAGGTCACTAGTGCAGAGTGCATTAGAATGGTATTCAGGGACATTCTAGTCAATGCAGTCTTTTTTTTTTTTTTTCAAATTCACAGTCTCTTCATAATATTCATTCTATTCTTTTTAAGTTTTAAAGCAGTTTATATAGATGGAACAAATGTTATGAATTTTTATATATACAGTTTTAAGAGCAGAATAATACTTTCCACCCCATTCTCCCACCTTGCAAGCTGAGGACAGAAATGTTTGCACTGACAAAAGTGGGGTGTAGGCTTACTTGCTTGAGGGTCCTTCCCATCCTACAGAATGTTGGCTACTGTTCTAAGATCAGGCCAGCTTCCAGGCTTCTTGCAAAGGCCAAAACTATTTTCATTTGCAATGGGTCACATGGAGAACATCAGTGGACAGCTTTCCTTTTAAGACAAAAGAGCTCTCCAAATCCCATATACCAGAAATCCTAGGCTGAAAAATGGAATTTGAATTCAAGACAAAGAACTGATGCATGAACACCGGTTACAGCAGTGCTGTGGACAGTCTCAAGGGCTGCTACAGAGGACAGAAAAGGCTAGTGACCACCAGCATGGCCCACAGCACCCTTCTGCCAGCTCAGCTTTTCTTCTTCAAAGACACCTTACAGGGGAAAAATTTAGAGTGACATGCTGAATTCTCTCAGACAGATAGATGAAGGCATATAAGCAGAGAAGCATGTAAGGAGGTAGAGAGAGAGGTAGTTAGAACTCTATTAAGGTACTTCAAAAATGTCATAGGACAGTGGAATAATAAAGTAGTAGCAGGTGTAGACATTGTGGCACAACAGGTCAAGCTGCTGCTGAGGATACCTGCATCCCTCAGGATGTCTGATCACCGGCTTTGAGTCCTGCTTATTCTGCTTCCAATCCAGCACCCCACCCACCAGGAACACAGCACATGATGACTGGAAGTTCCTAGCTACTGGTATCAGTCTGACCATATCTGGCTTTTGCAAGTATTTGGGAAGTGAACCAGCAGATGAAAAATCTGTATGTATGTATATATGTCTCATTTTTTCACTCTCCCTCTCTCATTTAAATCGATAAATACAATATAATGAAGAAAAAAAATAAAGGAATCCCCAGTATTTTTTTTTCTTTTCAGTAGTAGAATAAATTTACTTAGATATAAAACTTTAATTGCTTTATAGATGTGGAAAAGTTGTTTAATTATAATCATTTATTAGGCCTGAGAGCAGATCTACCTTTCATTTATATAATGTCCTTCTGGCTTCCTTTTTCTGGCTGGTTTATGTCTCTCTTATTTCTCTTCCTTTATCTCGGTCTTGGGGTCTTAGAGCAACATTTCTGTTTTATTCATCATGGAAGATGTTGAATTAAGGTGTGTTTCACATTCATGGAACCAAGAAATATTGAACAGACATATGGATATATCATAGCTCATAAAATTCTAGTTTCCAGAAATCCTCTTGTATTTTAAAAATCTAGATATAAATAGGGCATGAGAATCTGTATTGAAAGTCCATACCTTCTGAAGCACCTGTTAATATGAGGCCAACAGTTAACTTTTTTGACTGTTGTGTTATCTATGTAACTAATATGCTGTAAAATGACAATGAAAAGCACAGGGATTACAACAAATTCTTTTATTATAGGCTATGAGGGAAGTATAATGGCCACAGAATACTTAGGTTTAACCCTAAAAATGTGTGTGTGTGTGTGAGAGAGAGAGAGAGTTCAAGATATTGATACAGCTTTGGACAAAAAATGTAGAGATGTGTATGTAATTTTAAGAGTGAACACTCAAAGGTGATATCATCAGATTCTTTTAACAATTATTGCAATGATTTGTCAGAACATTCAATTCTGACACATAAAATGAGATAGTCATAAATACTTTCAGCAATGAATAAAAAATTGCCTTAAAGCTCAGAAATAACTAAAAGATTTAGAGAGCTTCAAGGGTTAAGGAAGATGATTCAGCCAAGGAAAAGAGTCATGGAAAAGCAGCAACTGATCGGAATAAAATTGAATTTTACCCATTTGAACTTCCTGACAGGTGTTCGAAAGATTTAGACAGAAAAAGTCTTATGTAGACAAAGTTTTGAGTATCTCTGGATCCCAAACAGATTTGGTATGCAGAAAGGGCTATTTAAAAAGCTATTAGTGAAACAAAAACAAAGATATCATGACAGAATACCTGGGATGATACTCAGTCTGCAATTTAGTACTTGCCAGAATATAAGCAATTTTTTTTACTTGTTTGTACCTTACTTTCTCGCATCTATAAAATGAGCATTGATGGTAGTTTTCTCCCCAAGGGAAGGAATTCTTACAAAGTCTAAGTTATTGACATGGGTAAGCTTTGAAAACTGCAAAACGCTGTTGCATCTATGATATCATGGCTATTCAGTAATTGCTTGAGTGTTTTAAACATGTCAAGGCAACACACTTTTAGGACACATGATTAAGAATATTTTCTCCCAACTCAGAGAAAATTATACTCTGGGGCAGGAGCCCACAATATTTGAGGATGAGTTAAAAAAAAAAAAACTGATATCCCTGATATCTTTTTGGTTTTGTTGGAAGAGAGATATTCTGTCATAGTTAAAACAAGGAACAGTAGCAATCGGATTTCTTTTCAAGCACTAATTGAATTGATCTCTCAAATATGGCATGTGCAGTTCTAAATTAGATGGCAGAATGAGAAAAATCTCATAAGTTTCAATAACAGGGAGAGGGATATGGTACCACAAGCACATGAGAAATAGGGAGTAACTTGACTGCTCTCTGTAATCGAATTCTGATCCAACTCCCTCAGTAAGATAAGGGTTACCCCTGTCTTCCCAGCAGCGGCATCATGTTTTTGGTAACTACCGGTGCTTTGAGAATTACTCATTTAAATAAGTCTTCCAGCTCCAGATGAAATGATCCCTGGTCTTAAAGTCAGGAGAGCCCAAACAGATGAGTACAATACAGAATATCATGAAAACAAGTTTAGTGCTTGCAAGAGTTATTTTGTAACCAGTCAGAGGGGGAAAAAAATCACGTTAATAAAGGTTCCTATTATAAGAATGTCTCATTATAGTGGAGCTCCTTATTAAGCTGAATTTTATGTGCTGGAATCCAATCAAACTGCTAGAACACGACCATAAATGCTGCGTATTGCCAGTGAGATCATTTCTGCCTCCAACACTCCTGGAATAAAAGGGAAAGGGAAGACAAAATAGAACTTTTCCCACTTCCATGAAATTTCTGCCTATCGTAATTAGAACCTAGCATTTGCTAACGCCTAATTTGCAAGCTCAATAACCCAGAGGATCTGCTGAATAACTGTCAAATCTGTTTGCAAAGATAGCAACAAACAGAGCCGGAAGGAATCTTAAAATAGCTGTACATGCTGCAGCATCAGCAGGTAGCGTCCTAACATGTCTCCGTGTGCTCTGTTGGTGAAAACTGTGAAGCTAGGGGTAACTGCATGTGTGCCACCACTGCAACCCATTTCCTAAGGTCAGAATATTCCGTGAGTGCTGGCAAGTGATATGGCATAACTTCTCCTTTCTGCTTTCCTGC